GATTTTCGATTTGACGAGAATCGAGCTTGAAGAAGCTTCGTGCTGGGTTCGATTGTTGATGAAGTTGCTCAGTTAATGTTTGAAGAAGGTACAATTGCATCATTCTTGGTGGTTTGACGAAAAATCGTGATAAAGGGTTTTGGGTGTGGTGGTGGTTGTGGCGGTGGATACTCACAGTCACCTCCATTGTAGAAGGTTGAAGATTTAATGTTGGGGAATTTACAAAAATATCCCTGAATAGTTTGTGGAAATGACATTTATACCCTGATATAAACAAACTTTGTTAATATAGGATATTAACTTGTATTTTCTCGTATATATAATAGCTTATCTATCCAATTAATCAATAATTTATGGTGATAACTAAACCACCTATGAATGAGGTGTCCACCGTGCGAGTCGTGCGAGCTGGGTTAGGGTTAGGTGGGTCGCGGGTTGGGGTTTCATGACACACGGCACGACACACGTAGGGTAGGGTGGGCCGGGTCGTGGGTTGGGTCGGAGAAGTTGGACACACCAGGGTTAGGTTCGTGGGTTAGACGAGTCGTGGGTGGGTCGAGCTGGGTTTGTGGGTTAGACGGATCGTGGGTGGGTCGAGCTGGGTTTGTGGGTTAGACGGGTCATGGGTGGGTCGAGCTAGGTTCGTGGGTTAGACGGGTCAAGGTGGGTTAGTGAGTTAGGGTGGGTCGAAGGGTGGGTTAGTGGGTTAGGGTCGGGTGGGTTTGTGGGTTAGGTGGGTTAGGGTCGGGTGGGTTAGTGGGTTAGGGTCGGGTGGGTTTGTGGGTTAGGTGGGTTAGGGTCGGGTGGGTTTGTGGGTTAGGGTCGGGTGGGTTCGTGGGTTAGGGTCGGGTGGGTTGTGTGGTGTTTTAATTTTTACAAAATTAACAATTTGATGGCTTGCTCTTAATTAAGATGCCTACGTATCCTTATATTATAAAATAAGGAATCAAAGCCAGCGTAGTTCTTATATTGTACTTCTTTTGAAATTTGGGGGGGGGGGGCTTGGACCTATCTTTAGAAAACTAAAATTTAATTTTGCAATTAAATTGTAATTTTCGAAAAATAAGTTGCCTACGTATCCCGAAAGAATCAAAGCCCACGTAGTTCTTAGCGTACCTGATTTAGACTTTTCTAGCCACCCATGTTTGTTGCATCATCATCCCCGGAAGCTGCATCATCCGTTGACGACTCCAATATCATCACAGGATCATCTTCATCGTCTTCGTCTTCCTTTAAACCTTGAGTTCTTCTTTCAGCTTGATCCCAATCTTTCTTACAAACACAAATTTGAATGCTTTCCGGAGTTAAGCGAGATCTTTTTTCATCTAACACTCTTCTACCTGCACTAAAAGCAGACTCGGAAGCAACAGATGAAGCGGGAACTGCAAGTATATCTTTTGCAATTCTCGCCAATATAGGAAAACTTTTTTTATGTTCTTGCCACCATTTTATAATTTGAAAGTTGTTGTTGGTCTCATGTTGATATGACAAATAATCATTAATAGCAAGTGTTGAAGAAGATGATGATGAGAATGATGTAGATGCTTTGTGTTTTTTTTTCATAACTTTATCAAGAAAACCAATTCTAGAATCGGAAGTGCTAGTAGTAGTTGGTGTTGCCAAATCAAAACCATAAATAGATGCATAATGATCATAAAGGTCTCCCAAAACAGATTTGCATTTGTTAATATATTCACTAACATCATAATCGATACTTAAACTTGTATAATAAAATTCTAAAAGATTTTCCAAACCTTCAGCTTTGACACCGAGGTCAAGAATAGCAGCAATTCCATAAATGATTGGAAATTCACTAAAATAAGTATGCCACTTACGTTTCATGCTATCAAGAACGGGACGAAGTCCATCAATCTTCATATGCTCTTCGATGGTGTGAACAACTTTAACACACTCAATTATGACTAAATGAACGTTAGGCTCATAAATATAAGAGAAAATATGAGTTGCACTATCAAAAGCATTTAAAACATCACGAACAAAAGAAGCATTAGTCCAATGACTTTCGGTTATTAACTCAGTAGGATCAACACGAGTCTCATTGTAAAGTTGGGTCAAAATATCACGATACTTTATAGCATCACTCAACAACTTGAAAGTAGAATTCCAACGGGTAGGGGTATCAATAGACCATTGTCTTTTCTTAAGACCTCTCTCTTTACACATAGCTATGTACTTTCTTCTAACTGACTGAGTAATCCTAATCCATTTTATAACTGTTCTAATTGGGTTTAGCAATGGTTGCAACTCAGCGAGACCCTCTTGAACAGACAAATTCAAAATATGAGCACAACATCTAACATGCAAGAGACTACCACCCAACAACAAATTCAGCTCGGAGTCATTTTTCAAATAGTCAATACACTTTGTGTTTGCAGTTGCATTATCAAGAGACAAAGAAAAAACTTTATTATTCAAGTGAAATTCTTTTAAACAATCCAAAATACGAACTTTGATGTTAAAACCGGTATGCCTTTCTTCCATAGCTTGAAAACATAGTATACGTTTTTGAATAAACCAATCATCATCCACCCAATGAGCAGTAATGCAAAGAAAAGGTTCGCCAAAACTAGAAGTCCATGTATCACTTGTAAAACTAACACGACCATCAAAAGTACGAAATAATTCAATCAAACCACTCCTATACTTATAATAAGAAGTTTGTGTATAACGTCTTAGGGTATTTCGGGGGACACGAGTAAATGCAGGTTGTAATGCAACTTTATTAAAATGCTCAACGTTTGCATTTTCACCGTAACTAAAAGGGTATTCATTAGCAATAACTAAAGTACTCATTTCATCAATCATTCTATCTTTATTATAAATGAAAGGTGTACCTCCGCCGGGTTGGTTCATGTATCCACCCAATTGTGTTTGGACGCCACCCCCCGAAGGACGGGGGCCATTTTCGAACAAGTCGTGTTTATTTTGCAAATGTCGACTCAAGGTTCCGGTTCCATCTCCCGTTTTCCAATTATATGACTTGACATTTGCACCTAGCGCCTTGCAAACTAGGCATGTACACGTGAACCTCTTTGGTTGACCAGGTTGCCATCCCGGGGGTGTGACCTCAACTCGTTCAAAATGTTTCCACACCCAAGAAAAATGTGCTCGACCTCTACTTTCACCGCCACCACCTTTCATAAATCAAATTATTAAAATTAATTTTTAAATGCTATTCATGAAAATAAGCTTTTAAATTTTAAATATTTTAATTATACTTATTTAAACGCATTTTTCATGGTAATTAACTAATTGTAAATCATAGAAAATTGGAAACTAAACTAACTTTATAATCATTAATAATAGTTTTTTTAAATATTCATAACAATAAAAATTTAATTAGAAATTACCTTGAGATGAAGGTTGAGATGTTGGTTGCGATGGAGGTGGCATAGTTGAACTTGATGATTGGTGGGACTCGTGGGAGAAATGTTGTGGTGGAGACGTTTGAATATTTTGCCTATCTCTTAAACCATAATCTCCATATTCATTGACAAATTGGTTTAAATTTTCCGTATTAATTTCATACGAAAAATTTGCACCACCACTCCTTTGGCTACCACTTCGACCACCACTTTGACTCCTTCCCATTCCTCCTCTTGAGCTCATTTTTTTTTGTATGATTACTAATTATAATATGGAGAAGAACTTTTTTTTTTTAGAATCTTAAGAATACTAATAATAATATTAAGGAGATTTTTTTTAACAAAAATATAACTCTATATAACACTTGAGAATTTGAGAACAATAAGAATTTTTAAGTAAGAGAGAAAGAAAGCTTGAATTTGTGTGGAAATTTGAGTGAAATGGAATTGGTATTTATAGGAAAAATAGAATGGATGATCATACACTTAAAAAACTAGCCGTTAGATACAAAAAACTAGCCGTTAGATACAAAAAACTAGCCGTTTTTTTTTTAAAAATGGATGTTAGGCCGTGCGGGCCGTGCGGGTCGTGCGAATTGTGCGAATTGTGCGGGCTGTGCGGGCCGTGCGGGTTGTGCCGGCCGTGCGGGTTGTGCCGGCCGTGCGGGTTGTGCCGGCCGTGCGGGTTGTGCCGGCCGTGCGGGTTGGGTGGGTCATGCGTGCGGGTTGGGTGGGTCATGCGTGCGGGTTAGGTGGGTTGGCTCGTGCGGGTTGGGTGGGTCATTCGTGCGGGTGGGCCGTGCGGGCTGGGTTGTGCCAGGTGGGTCGGGTTAGGTGGGTTCACGGGCTAGGTGTGTCGAATTAAATGAGTCAAAACGGGTTGTGCGATTTGGGTCGAATCAAACGGGTTAAACTGAGCTGGGTTGAAATGGGTTGTGTCGAAAATTTTGGACCCACGACACAACCCGGATTAAATCCGAGCTGTGCCGGGCTGTGCCGGATTGAAACCGGGTCGGACCCACGTGACCCACCAGCCGTGCGAGTTAGGGTGGGCTGGGTCCAACCCGGCCCACTGGCCACCTCGGGCTATGATAAGAGGAATATTATTATCACAAAATGAAAACAAGCAATCGCGTTTGGTATTACCTTGGTTTTCTGTTTTATGGTTTTTTGTTTTTTAAAACCATATGATATATGTCATATAATGAATCAAAAATTAGTCAAACTTATTAAAATCATGATAATTTTGAAAATTGACAATAGAAAAGAGAAAACACCTTTTTCTTGTTTTTGGTTTTTTGTTTTTTAAAAAATAGAAAATTAAAAACAATGCCAAACAAACCCTTAAGATTGAGATTTTTTTTGTCAAAATTTACAACCTACCAAACCTAATAAAAGTTAAAAACACCTTTTTTTTTTATTTATATTTTTTAATTCCTAGCACTAAATTTAAAATTTTAATATGTAAAAATACTAGGTTAGAACCCGATGCACGATTTATATAAAATTTATTTTTATAATTTGTGAAAAAGGATAAACAAAATGCACCTTGTACAAAAATATTTGTAATTTTAAAATTTTAGATTTTCATCAAAATTATGATTTAATACATATTCAATATCGCCTAATACATATTTCAATGTGGGAGTCCATTTATTAGTTTTGTTTTAGGAATAGTTAATAGACATGACAATGCCAGTTTAAAAAAAAAAAAAAAAAAAAAAAGTTCCACGTCGTTGGTTGTCTGTCTTGGTTTCTGACCTCGTGTTTGGTACATTTCTTTGTCACCGTTCATCCCTTTCCCTTTCGCCTTTCCCCTTTTTTCTTCATCCTAAAATTAAAAAACACAGAATAATCAACAACAACAATGGAGGAGAGAGAATTTCCAGTTAAATTAAAAATAGGGTTTTTTTTAGGGCTTACATTCTTCTTCTTCAATTCAATCCAAAAAGTTGAAGCTTCAATTCACGATTACAGAAATGAAAAATTCATCCCTCAATCTAACGCCTTCTTCTTCCATGGCGGTAGCGAAGGTCTCTATGCTTCTAAGGTTTCCGATCACTCTTCTTCTTCTTCCGAAAAAAGTTCCAAAGGCAGGTCTTTTATTAGGTATATTTTCATCTTTATTTTTTTTTCATTTAATTTGTGTTTTTGTAAGTTGTTGATTATTTGATCATCGTATTCATGAATTTGAATTGTTTGTTTGATACTGTAATTCGTCAATTTTAGATTTAATTGTTTGATTTTCGAGATTTTAATTGGCGGTTGATGTTTTGTTGTTTAGTTGGTTTAAGTCTATGGCGGTGATTCCGTTTCATCCATCTATTTTGAGCTTGTGAAGGGTTGTTTGTATAGTAGAAGTTGCTAAAATTTCGAAAATTGAAAATCGGTGAGCTTTTAGCCTGAGATCACTTCTGCAATGAAGTTGCTAGCTTGTGGAATTCGTGTTAGGTTTGTTTATTTGAGTGAAGAGCCAAGAAGGTGTATCGCGTTGATGATTCAGTTATTTGTAATATAGGATTGGGTATTTGGATGGTTAAGGGGGAGGGAAACATAAAAGAATCTAGTTATGTTGGTTACGTTTTCGGTGTTGAGAGCTCAAAGGGCATTGATGTAGTCGGGATTTGATTAGTATAGTCCCTATTGCTTTTATACTAACCAAGTTAGTTGGCATCCACATGATCTTATTTTGGAGTAATGAGACTACAATCTATTACAGAATTGCTTAGTTTACACTGTCTCGGTCCCTATAAAAGAGTCGGTCACATTTGATCAGGGATTATGAATAAAGAAAATTGATTTTATATTCGTATTTCTCTGCCGTACTATGGTCCACAAGAAGTCTTTACTTGACATTCTTAGTCAAGCATCATATAAGGCATTTATGAAAAATTTTGAATTATTAATTGTAGATATGAGTTGCTCTGTATCGTATTAGGCGGCCTAGAATATAAATGATCCTGTTATTTAGTGACAGAAAGAGCTAAGTTTGTTACTTAGAAACTGTTGTTATGGAATTTATGCCTTGATGGATCCACTGAGCTTTTGCATTGTCTACATTTTTGGTAACGTTAGTTGTGACAGGCTTTTGTGCTCAATATTAGAATTACTGATACTTGGTTTGGTATTATGTGCTGTTGGCATTCCAGATTTGAATCTGTTACATTTACAAGGACAAAAGAGTCTGCAGAGAAGCAGAATGAATGGCAGCAATATACTGGTACGGTGGAAGCTATCATAGTTGAGGTGAAAGACCGTGAAAGGATTGGTGGAACATACCTCAAAACAGATGCAATATGTTGCAATCAAACCCTTGCGAGTGAGGGGCATTGCAAGATAGGTGAGGTAATAATGCAGCCTAATCCAGAAAAGCGTGAATGGCCTAAACGGATCAAGGTTTTCTTTGAAGGAAAGAACGACAAGGCCTTGATGCCTTTCCAGTCTGTTGACATTAACAGCACAGGAATGTATTATCTGTACTTTATGTATTGTGATCCGACACTAAAGGGTACGACAATAAGTGGAAGAACGGTATGGAAGAATCCGGATGGTTATTTGCCTGGAAAAATGACTCCTTTGATGAAATTTTATGGTTTCATGTCTTTAGCATACCTTTTGCTAGGACTGGCTTGGCTATTGCGGTTTGTTCAATTCTGGAAAGATATTATACAGCTGCACTATCACATTACAGCAGTGATTGCCCTTGGTATGCTTGAAATGGCATTATGGTATTTTGACTATTCCAATCTGAATGCAACAGGTGTTAGGCCAATGGGGGTCACTCTGTGGGCAGTAACCTTTACTGCAGTTAAAAAGACACTCTCCCGACTCCTCCTCCTGGTTGTTTCCATGGGATATGGTGTGGTCAAACCAACTTTAGGGGCTATCACATCGAAGGTTATGTTTTTTGGAGGTATATACTTTCTAGGTTATGAGGCGCTTGAACTATATGAACATTTGGGCAATATTAATGATTTCATTGGGAAAACCAAGTTAGTTCTGGTGTTGCCTGTCGTGTTTATGGACACGTGCTTCATTTTGTGGATATTCTCCTCCCTTTCAAACACTTTGGAGAAGCTGCAGGTAAATTTTCTACTTCTATAAATTCCTTTTTTTTTTGGGGTAAATTTAATTTCATCTTTAAATGCTCTCCTCTGTACAGAATTGATTTCTTTGAATTTAAAACTTCTAGAAAATGAACTTCTTAATAGGCACCCCCGTGTTTTTGTAGAGAGAGAGAGAGAGAGAGAGAGAGAGAGAGAGAGAGAGAGAGGAGGGGGGGGGGGCAGGGAGGCATTATGTGGATGTATATGCTGTCTCTGTTATCTTTTATCATGTATACTGATGCTTCTACTGTTGTGGATTAGGTAAGATTTTGCAATTCCATTATATTTATCTTTTTTAATTCTTGAATTCAGCTTCGTAGAAGCTTGGCTAAGTTAGAGCTCTACCGGAAATTTACAAATTCTCTTGCGATATTTGTAGTGCTCTCAATTTCTTGGATTGGTTATGAGGTACTTTATATTCACCTGTTCTTCTTTCCTGTCCTTACTCATAACAAAAATTATTGTCCTTTACCTTATTTTATATGATCTGCTTTTTTGCAGTTGTATTTTAATGCAACTGATCCTTTAGGCGAGCTTTGGCGGATTGCATGGATCATTCCTGCCTTTTGGGCTCTGCTTGCATACTCTCTTTTAGTTGTGATATGTATACTCTGGGCTCCTTCTCGCAACCCTACAAGGTATGTAGCACTTGTTATATGTAAGTCTGTTGATTTGTTCCCGATGTCTGTGGTACCTCTCTTGAGACTAGCTATGAATTTAAAGAGTATTGCTGTCTCTATTCTGCAATGCTTGCATGTGGGTGGGTGTTATATACTAAAAGGCAAATTTATTGTTGGGAAACAGATAGATATCTGTGTATTATGTTCAATTTCACGGCTTTCCCGAATTTTTATAGTGGTGGAAAATAATACGATAGAAACTAATCGAATCAAGTAAAAAGACTGCCTTTTCCTTTCTATTACTTCTTTGCATCACTGACATATAGGTAATACGCAGGCCTTTGCTAATTCTGTATAAAATGACAATATTGGATTCTATTGTCCCCCCCCCCTCTCCTCTTTCCTCTTGTTGATGTCTGGGTTTCACCTACAGCCCAATCACTTAGCGTTCCTTTAATAGGAGGTGACAAGCTGTCTGTATATTGTTATTGTAGTACAAAAATTTGTTTTCTGAATAGGTGTGCCAGTGAATCTTGGCTTTTCTGTTTTGATTTTTTATATTTATTTATTGTATTTTCTGGCTATGGTAAAATTGTGAATCCAGTTCATAGGCTTTTAAGATCTTGTTTCTCAAATATTAGCAAACCATGTTCATCAGATAAAGATTCACAAATCTAGAAGAATCTTCATAGTATCATGGCAAAATAATAAAATTGCTGAATCACAATTTTGAGCATAATTCTACCAATTCCACAAAAATTGGTATAAGGAATCTTTGAAGAAATGTGAGTAAATGGGTAAAACCTTTCCCTCCTCTGCACTCATCTTCATTACCATACCCTAGAAAAGTAAAACTTGGGGGAGGGGATGCTTCTACTTTCCTTAATTCTAAGTTACTAATGCTAGATCTGGGAAGCTTACCTCATCCTTCTACAGTAAAACTCTCCATCATCTTCAGCATTTTATAAGGAGTTTTACATTTTCCTAATTTTTCCTACATATGGATATAATAACCACATACGAAGTATTAACCATGGATATTTGGAAACTATGTCACTTTCCAAAATAGTTATGCTTATGCTTTAGCCTTTCTAAATACTAAACTATGTAATGGAGCCTGTGAGAAACTGATAATGTCATGAAGGGTCTTTTCATCCTTAAGACTTAGGAGTTGGAATTACGTGAAGAGTGAAGACTATTATTGTACGAAGAGTGTATCTTTTGTATTATTTTGGCTCTTTAAGTGGAAACAAAGATTATCTCTCTTAACTCTTTTATATTAAAAAAAAGAGAGTTCAAATGAAATGATGGGAATATGTCTTGTAGAGTTGGAGGCATATACAACATTGATTTCCGGTTTGCGTTTTTAAGTTGGATGACAGGAATAAAAAAATGAGTCAAGCCAGTTCTGGTCAGTGGTTCAGTAGTCAATTTGATTACTAGTATTATTTCTGCCGTCCAGCTTTGTATGGTCAACTATATTCCTATTCTTACTTTTTCAATCATTTTTTGCTTCATAATATGTGAAATAACATAAGTATTTGTGTTAGACAGATTGATCTTTTGCACTCCAACTCTTGGATATTGAATTCCTGTATTCCAAGATTATCATTAGCACTTTTGATAAGATGAGCTGTAAGAAATATTGGAATTGATTTTTGCAACCTGCAAGCTCAAATCATGCAGATGCTATTCATAATTACCCTTTTAATGGTTTTAGGTTCTACTGAAATAGATCTAGAATAAGGAATGGCACTGCAATTTCATATTATAATTTACAAGACAGACATTGGCAATTTATCTAGATAAGCTGCAACAAGTATCAAAACATTGATTAGCTAGCAGAGCTTGAGACATTCTTGTGCGCCTAGTATTAATTATGGGTTTAGCTTCTGAAGCAATTGCCTTTTTGTTGTATATAGGTGTCTATTTTATGCGTACTTTTTAGGTTTGTCTGAAAAAAAAAAATTTCATTTCCTGAAACAGAAATAGATTGTGCTTACATCATCAAACTTACCTTTTTGAAGTGGTATAGAGAGACTTTGAAGGAGATAGCCAAGTATAATAAGGGTATTTTAATTTTTTAGTGTGGATCCCAAATATTGCAACATAGGGGGAATATGCATCCCAATGCACATTTTCCAATCTTAAATATCTTTCTTTAATTATATAGGAGTAAAAATTTTAAAAATTAGATATTATTTTCAACATTTGCCAAAAATGGATGTTTCATGTTATTTGCAACAAATATTTTCTTTCTTTTTCAAGGTGTCATGTTTTTTGTCTCTCCTCATCACATGCATTTCTATCTTTCTTTCTCCATTTAACACTCACAAACAAATTTTGCCTAGGAGTTTGCGCAAACTCATTTGTTGTAAATAATAAGAAACCGAGGTAGCATATTACAATATGTAATTGAAGAGTTTGTGAATAGCGTCAAAAGTCCAATTGGTGCAATATTAGGGGAATGGAGGAAATTATAAAGGATGGTGGGTATGAAAGATAATAGTAACCCCTCAAATTTGCTTGGAAGCTATAGAAATTGAGGCTGATCCAACTTTTGACAAGCTTTCGCCACTTCTCACATAACTTGGTATGAGCCTAAGCCTGAGTATTTGATGGATTGATTTAAGTTGCTGCCTTTTCTGTTTCTATTTCTCGTTGATCCTGGAATCTTGTGCCTTCATCCAATGGTACTTTTGGTTTATGTAGAATCGTAGTAAGCTTCTATCAACTGAATTTCTACGTTTGTGTTTGTGCTTTTGTGCAATATGGAAATTTGATTTCGTAAATCCATGTCCGAAGCTGCAAATTTGAGTAATGTTTATTTATGATTCTGTGATGAGTCTCTGTTTGTTCTTTGTTCTTTTTCAGGGCTTTGTTAATTTATTATGCTTATTGCATTTTGGTTGCCTGTCGTATGCTATCTCTATATGTTATCACCCATTATGGTTCCTGTCTTAGGAAGGTGTCATGAGTCATGAGTCATGAATCATGCATCTAAATACCAAATCTAATTCTTTTTTTTGCTTTTAGGTATGCCTATTTGGAAGAGTCTGGTGATGACCTAGACGAAGAGGGTGTCTCACTGACAAGTAGTGGAGTCAAGGTTGCTGCTGATATGGCAAGCATGATCGAAAGGAAAGAGAGAAAAGTTTCAGGCTCCACTGATCACGTGTTTGTTGGGGTTAGGGAGGAACTAGAGGAGGATAAGCGAGAATAGATGGAGCAGCAGAAAGTTCTATAGCTGCACTATAATTTTGAATCATCCATACTGAAATGGGGAGATGCTCACTGATCCATGATTTTGTGTTTCTGTATATATGCGGAAGAACAGCTTAGCATAAGAATTAGGGGGGAACTGGGGAAGCTTTCTTGTAAAACCATGTCATTACTCATTACTGTAACTTAGCTATGACAAGAACAAGCTGACTTGTGTATTTGTTCCTCGAGCTTGGTGTTCAAGCATGCATGATTTTCTACTTTAATTAGAAAGTTGGAAAGCCTACCAACAATAGTGCTCTGCGAGAAACTATAATCTGCTCTTGAATGCATTGAGCCATTGAGGTTGGCTGTTATAACTTGATTGCACATTTGTATGTACATTATTAAAGCGAATACCATCTTTTAACTCTTGGCCCCTTTCTTGCTCTCTTAAGCTTTGTTTCCTTCTTGATCTTTGGCCATTGCTTCGGTGTTCCTTCCCAATCCAATGACAGTGTGCATGTGGATTGGAGTCTTCATCTATGATCATTGATGACCTCTGATGCTCTATTTTTCATTAGCAATTGGCAGTGTCCTTATATTTGTGAACTTTTCTCCCTAATCCATCAATCTCTTGGTACATATCATGTGAAAATTAGCTTCCTTTTTATTTTTCTTTGGGAAATACATGTGAAATATATAATTGGAGCATGAATAGTAGTGTGCTCTGCCAAACAAGTTAAAAAACTATTATCACTCATAACAGATACTCACGTTTCTTATTATCAAGTTTTTTTTTTTTTTTTTTTTTTTTGACAAACTTAGCTTAAATAGTAAATTGTCTGAAATACTACGTAATACAAGTACTTCGTATGATGTTTAAGAAAATTTGTATGAAAATCATAATGCTAAATTCATACTTCTTATCTATTAAAAATTTTGTACTTCATACCTATTAATAAAATATATATCAATGATTTTCAAAGAAATAACAATTTTCACAAAATTTATTCCTTTTTGATTCTGGCACTGAGAGAAGCAAAAAGAACAAATGATGTAAAACAATATTAATCCCATGTATTGAACACCAGATATTGCCAGATTTTTAACACTTTATTAACCAACTAGTTATCATTTACCTTTTTTCACAAGATATGTATGAAGATCATCATGCATGTTTCTATATTCTTAAAGTTTATACGGTGATCAAGAACCTAATCGGCTCAACTATCAATTTTGGCAAAGGTGGCAAAATGGCCTAATTTTGGCATGCTCAGCATTCCATATCCCATTTTATACCTATAATATTTTTTTTTGACACATATACATATATATCTATAATATTATCTTATCATATAAAAGCTTTAAATAAAAAAAAAATGTGAACAAATAATAGTGCTTCAGTTACTAATCTTTCTTAATTCATGTGGGCTCCACAATGTGTCATTTACCAATTGAGTTATTGGTTTCCAATTAAGAAAAGCTTCTAATTTGCTTTCATGACTAGGACTCAACTTTTTTCTTATTAGTAAGTCTCCTTACCAAACTTCAAAACCACTTATTTTTTCAGTGAAATTTCTTGATTAATTATCAGTCTTAATTTCTTCTAACAAGTTATAATTTCCCAATTCAAAGCTTCAAAAGATTTAATTTAATGGCAGTGACAAATTATTTGGATACAACATTAGTTCCTTTAAGTTTGTTTTTGAGTGTGGGATATCATGTTTTTCTTTGGCACAATTTCAAGCACAATCCTTCCCTTACCACCATTGGAATCAACACTCTCAAGAGGAGGGAATGGCTTCAAGGTATCAAACCGGTAATATTTCTTTCCCTCAATTAATTATAAAAGCTCTATAATATAGTTTTAATCATATATATATATATATATATATATATATATATATATATATGTATATATTGTCACTTAATTGTTACACCTTATTTTGATCTAATCAAAGTAAAATCCATATGTTTGGGGATATATCTAATATATGTAGTACTATCTTTATTACAAATTATTGAAATTTTTTACGTAATTTAGGCCCTTTGGGATGGCTGGTAAAAATTATTACCAAGTACCTTTCTTAAGGTAATAATGATTTTGTTAGATTTTCTTAACTTGCCTTTATGAAATTAAGTTAAATTGAAGGATGGAAATACACAAATATTATAAAGGTCATTTTGTAAGGTGACATATTTTTTAATTATGTTATGTGTGACGACATGATAACTAATTCAGGGTCGGCATAACAGTTATTTGTAGTTATTCAAGAGTTATCTAAGTTTGTAACAAATTCATATAAGTTGAAGGATTGATGATAATTGAGACTAGTAACATGTGTGGTAGTTTTAAAGCTAGCTAATGGTAACTTTAATTTTTTTGGATACAAAATGTCAATGTAACAGGGTGATGACAAGAAAGAGGTACTAGCAGTTCAAAGCCTAAGGAACACTCTAATGGAGTCTATACTAACAGCCACCATAACCAACCATGCTAATAACCACTGCACTAGCAGCATTAGCCAACAACGCGTACAAGGCCAGTGACCTTCTAGCCACGACTCAATTTTTCGGGTCCCAAACAGGCCGGATCGTTGTCCTCAAGTATGGTTCAGCATTGGTGTTCTTATTGACCAGTTTCCTGTGCAGCTCAATAGCCATCAGCTACTTGGTGGATGCTAACTTCTTGATCAACGCGTCAGGCGAGTTCTTGAGCCGTGGGCATACAAAGAGAGTGTTGGAAAGAGGGTTTCTGATGGGAGTTGTAGGGAGTAGAATGTTGTGCATTAGTTTGCCTTTGTTGTTGTGGTTGATTGGCCCTGTGTTTGTGCTCATTTCTTCCTTGGTCATGGTATGGATTTTGTATGGGCTAGATTATGCTACTAAATTGCATGGTTTGACTGTGAGTACGAAATCTATTGTTATTGATGAGTCTAAATGAATATGGAGTTTTCATATTTTCTTGGGTTACCAAGTACTATATAAAACACAATATTTATATCTACATCATCTATTTCTTCGTATATGCTATTTTGATGGCTTTTTGTTAGATTAAGCTCAACCTATATTCATAATAATTTTCTAAAAACAAAAAATATTCATAATAATGAAATGTTGTTTTGATTTCTTTATTGTTTAGTTTCTCTTTTAGCACTTGATGAATGCTAAATTCTTGATCAATGCATTTCTTTTGGAGGTAGTATGAAGTTGAAGGTTGTGAATTAGTTTTCAATCAATTCCCCAAATTTGCAAGAATACATGAATATCATGAATTTTCAATCAATCCCCAAATTATCAAAAATTCAATGTTTATTCAAGAATTAGGGTTCTAGTGATTCAAATTAAAACAACTAATTCAATTAATGTTTTAATAATAAGAATATATAAAGATTATTTCATGGAATCATAGTCTATTAAACCTATTACATAATGATTTATTTAATAATTCAATTATTCATCAATTGTTATTTCAAGAAAAGGGTTTATATAGATTTAGAGCTTTCTAATATAGTTATCAACGAATTTAATCCAAATTTACATGAAAAAACTAGGAATAAGTGGAGTAGATTAACACATAAATCATTCACATCAAATACTTAACAAGCAATCGTTAATTTAGGTTTGAATTCGTCAAAAACGAAAAATCCTTCGAAAAACCTATTTTTGGGCAAAATTTGACCTCTGGATAATCTTTTCTAAGTACATAGTAGGTAGAGAACTAGATATCAATTTAGAACATCATTTTCACTCAAAATTCACTACTCATACGTCTAAATCTGGGTTGTTCTTCCATTTTTCGGAAAAATGCCTAAAAATTTCTAATCACCATAGCAGAAACGCCCAAAATTTTTGAAACCCTCACGATTATACGAAAATTCTGAGCGTTTCTCACAAAACACTCCTAGAATTCGTATAACCGTTTGAGTTTCGAATTTTTTGGGTGTTTTCACTCTGGGTTTTCGAAAAAAATAGGCGTTTCTGGCTTTGTTCGAAAAAAATCACAACATTTTCTCCCGCGATGACCTTGCCTCTTGGTTGGTGGTGGTCGATGGTGGATTGTTAGAAGGAGAGAGATGAATATTCTCGAGTTGCATGGGTGAAAACCATAGAGTATATGAAAGGATAGATTCGTATATTCATTTTAAAACGCGGGCGTTACCCGGTATGTATAGTTGGGATTTACACCACTCAATTAAAGTATATGTCCAAAAAGATTCGATAAAATGAAAAACGAACAATAAGACAATCATTGCAAATTGGAAATTTACAAAAGATCGAAGAAAAAATCTTGTGTGGACCTGGTTCAAAATAATTTTATTGTGAACTTGAAGTCTATACACCATAACTAACGTAATGTTGAATATAGTGATCTTAATTTCAACATAGTGGCCCTAATTTTATTATGGTAACCTTTATTAAAACTTGTGCGAGCATGAGGTCCACATATGCAATTGACGTTAATTTGAACACAATAACTTAGTGACCTTTAATACGGAGTATTTATATTACCCAGTATATTAAAATTTTCATTATAATATAAACGAATCTCTTAACCTTTATACTTCCTCTATTCTAGTAATATTGTAACAACTAGACTTTTGCACTATTCATCACGATTGTTTGAACACATATTATTAATTTATACGTAAAGTAAAATATAGTCATGTGGGGTTTTGTTAGATTCGTCTCGTAAAATACTTTCACAATATCAACTTTTTATAATTTTTACTCTTGTATAATTATGGATATTTAACACATAAAATGTGCTTTGGGATGCGTAATTTCATCCTTGTTGCAATATTTGTGGAACAGAATAAGTATAACTAACACATTGTCTTTTATTTTAACATAATAACCCTTTTTTTTTTATTAACATCTTTACCTTTTTTTTTACTGAATATATAAAAACCCTTAGGTTTAAATAACAATATATTTAAATAGAGAAATTTGTCTATAACTACCCGGAAGATAGGCTCATTTGTGAACAACTACCCATTTTAATTTTTTTTATTTGTTTACAACTACCCGCAAGTTTGAAAACATTTGGGTAGCACTACCCATTAACGTTTTCCATCCAAAAAACCGTTAGGGGCCCCCACATTGTACACGTGTCATTTATTTATTAGATAAAAAATAAAAAATGGATAAAAAAATAAAAAAAAAAGAAAAAAAAACCTACCCACCCCAACCACCGTGAAACCCTAGCCCCTACCCCTAGCCACCACCTAAAACCGGCCGGCGACCCTCCTTAACCTCCGAAAACGGCCGGCCACCAACCCTTCACCCCAACCCGACACGTACCAGTCCCACGACCCTCCCTCTATCTCCTTCGACCCACGACCCACACTAGGGTCACTCGCCGCACCGCCCTCTCTCTTCTTTGACAAGCCACCTGGATTCGAACCACCCTCCCCCAAACCCAGACCCGAAACCG